CTGAATACTCTGTGAATTATATAGCTGCTTCTCACAATGACCTGGATTGTGACTGGTTATTTTCTTTGGTGTTAATTTGTATTGAAATTGGCTGCTTCATTTAGCTTGTACTTAAACTTTTCTCCATGTCTCCATGTGATTTATAATTTATTCGTTGATGGATTTGATTTAAATCAATATGTCTGTTTAGTTAAGAATACTTCATACATTGATTACCCTTTATGAACAACAGTTTGTGCTGAATAAAATGGTACCGTAATTTATATTATTGACTTCTCATCAGCTATTTACAGTCTAAAGACATTATTAATTTTATGTACAGAAACATCTTTAACATACTCACATAGAGAGTTCATTTTCAAACAAAAAATCTATGTTTTGATACAATGGTAATAATAAACACTTTATTCCAAACAACAGTAATGATAGAGAATGGGATTTTCAGCGTTATATAATCCAATGAAAGAGAGGATAAAAATATCCAGTAACTAGGGCAAGGAAAGACTGATAACCGCTTCTTTCTGAACCCATAAATAGAGTTCCAGATGCTTGATAGAGATTGCTTCGGCAAACGTGAGGAGAACTGACTTTTTTCGCCCACTGATAATTTTGGACGATATTGAGGTGTTCATCTCATGACCTCTGTCAAGGTGATGCCTGGTAGTACCACTAATGAAAGCAATTCTTCCCTTGAGACGTACGATTTTGGCACATGTCCAGAAAATCGGAGGCATGAACTTCGTTCTGTTCTCTATAATGTACGGACGATATGAAGGCTCTAATGCCGAATGAATCAAAGTGGGGAAAATCCTATTTTCACTCAACTTGATTTTAAAAGTGATAATATTGCAGGAATAATCAAATGAAGACTGATTACGTTACTATCCAGAGCCTACCGGGGATCTAAGCAGGTTTTCGTTCATCGGACAACATGATCTTCGGTACAATCGAAAGTAGACAGATGCCCCTCTCATGTTAACACCAACTGTGAACACCAGCTTACATGTATTTGCGACAGCCTTTTGGTCTGCATAGTATTGAATAAATTGATTGTGTTAGTTTGTGTGAGATATCTGTTTCAAACGGTTTCAATATTCTAACTGCTATTTTAGAAATACTTTCAATATATAGTAGAATGAATCGTCTTGCGGTTTCTGAAGATGGTTTCTCTCTGGTAGTTTGTTATACACAAACTGACAAGGGGACAGATTACATGAAGTTATTCATAAACTTTTAAAACGGAACTATCCTTCATCTCTTTACAAGACCTTGAAAAGTTTAATAAATAAAGTGACTAAAATTTAGATGAAATTTAAAAGACTTTTAAAATGCTTAATTACATGTTGACACTGGGGAAAAAGAGTCGGTTTGAAAAGAGACTAACTGCAGTGAATTATGTCAGAGTAGTCGAAAGGATTGAGAATTTCTTCCTCTGTTCGATGAGATAAAATAAAGGCTACACATCGATTTCTCAGTCATGTAATTCATGATCAATTTTACTTATGCATGTCATAGAGAAACACTTAGATAACTGGATGATGGATGGTCTAGTCAACATCATTAACACTGTATATGCATTGGTGGCATAGCGGTTGTGAGTTTCGCCGACTATGCCCATGGTCCAGGGTTTAATCCCCTGCCGACGACACACACCTGATATCTATGGTCTGCCTGCAAAATTTCGACTATTGATATCACATGCTGAAAATTCCATACCAGTACCAAAAATACGGTGTGGAATCAAGCTGTAATCAAAAATAAATAAAAAATAAACGTTCATGTCAAAAATGCACACTACATGTCTGTATGAATAAAACACCTCAAGGATTAAATCTGTTTAATAAATTAGTATTCAGTGACAGTTGAGATATGTTAAAACTTCAATAGAATGAGGATAGAAATTGTTAACATTTTACAAGATCCGCTATTTGATTGTAGACGTTTCAGTACAAAACTTATTAACTTCTTGATAAGGTTTGTCCTGAAGACGTCACCAAGAATGGTGATAAAACTCGAATGATCAAATACTGAAGCTCAAAAATTATGCAATGACATGCAATAAAGATTTCTTTTATCTAACTTAACAGCCATGCCATCCAGTGTGGAAAAGTAAACAACAGTTAAAAGTTATGAAACTAGACCAATCACAGTATGAAGCTGCGCGAAACTAAATCAGTTAAAATTGTTACTACTTCTAATAATCCAGTGAAAAATTTATAATACTAAACTAAAAAAATCGTATAAAAAGGGAAATAGTATGAATAAATTAGGTTTAGTGAACATAGCAAAATTTTGGAAAATAACATGGAGTAATAGACTAAAAGCCATTGTAAAAATAATGTTTAGCCACACTGTTGAGAGCCTTCAGTCAGTTATTCGCAGTACTTCAATGACTGAAGGCAACTAATCTACTTCCCGCTACATGGCACAAAGGAACGGAGGAAGGGTTTACTAATGTTACATCTTGATCAGGAGACATTTCAAGAATATTGCAATGCACTGGTATGCACTTTTGTAGAACTGGAAAACACCTGAAGGTGCTTAGATACATTCGGAGTTTCTGTGTGATAGAACTTAGCGAAACAAACAATTGTACTTCATTCCAATAACAAATCAAATCACCTTTTTATTCTCAGTGGATCCGTGTGTCGTTAAATGTCGATATACGTAATGATAACAATTAGTAATGCATTTTCATCAGACATATTTAGTTTCTTTTGTTTTCTAAGAAATAAAGTGAAATCTGGTGAATTTAAGCCTTTCATTCTACCTCCCGTCAATGGTAGATTCGACAATAATAAAGTTTTTGGTTAAAAGATTTCATCATGAGCTGGCATCGGTTAGAGAACCATTGGAAAAACTGAGGAGTACTGGACGGCCATACGTTTCATTCTAGTTTGGGATTCTTCATCGGTACGCACCCACCCCAGGAGTTACAAACTCAGGACCTTCTGGCTTCAAGGTGAGCTCGTAGACCATTAAGCCACTGGGATCCGATCCAGTGGACAGTCCATGAATTCTAACTTCTTCCAATTTACGACATAGTGCGATCACTAGCCAAGCGCGACCTTCTGTACCCTGCTGGTTAAGACCATTTTCAAACTTATCGCTGTTAAAAATGATCTCAGCATATGTGAACCAGGTTGACTTGGCATTTGATCTTATCTAATTTCAAAATATCCTTTTACTCCTATTATTTCCACTTTCCTATCTTGAGGCTGGAGAATCATTTTCAAAATATCCTTTCTTAATCAAGGTATTTTAGTCGTATATGACTTAAACTTACAGAATCTGTGAATTATTTTATTTTTTTGATTACAGCTTGATTCCACACTGTATTTTTGGTACAGCATGGAATTTTCAGCATGGATATCGGTATTGTGTATTTACAACGATAATCTGTACAACTTATATAGCTTGACATTTTGCTTCAGCTAGTCATTTTATTTGTAAAGATTTCTTTTCTTGACTGTGTATAAAAGTAATAGTTATTTTTTCTTCTTTGTATTTTTCTTTGTCTCAAAATTTTTTCAAAGAATTCACTAGAAAATGAACACTACTCATTGAATAGGTATTTCCTTAGAACGCATGTTGAAAGGATATGTTAGTTGATAAATGGGGACTATAAGAAAGTCGGGAGAAAACTTTATGCATGCACCTGATCATCTTGGTGAATAATCACTCTGTAATGCCATAGAATTTCATTTTCAAGTGTTGGTTTGTAGGGATTTGATTGGTTACAGGATTTTCATCATGATCTAGTATCAGTTAGAGAACCATTGGAAAACCTGGGAGTGCTGGACGGCTGTTTCGTCAGCCTAGTTTGGGACTCTTCATCCCTACGCACCCGCCGTCAGGGTTCGAACCCAGGAGCTTCTGGAGTAATTGCCGTATTATTTAACATGACATCCAGTAAGATTAAAAAACAAATAACAATCCCTCAGATCCTTCAAAAAAATAAGTGTGAAGTAATATTCAAAAGAGCCACACCCAAAACAAAAAATAATGACCTCCATAATGTCCGGGAAGATCTAAACGTTTCTCACCTAACATGGTAGGAAATGGCACAGGCTGGAATTCCTATGAACTTAGGTCATTTTTTGATTCGGTTTTTTAAACGCATCCATCATCTAACATATGATTATAAATGAATGTGTTGCACATCATTTCGGGTTGCAGAAAACTTTATACTACTGAATGATTTAGATGAGTAGTTGTATGCCACTCACGTCAGCTACAAATGCTTTCTAGCTTTATTGGATTGTTCTAAATACCAGACATTAATTTGGCCCATTAGGGAGTGAGTTCATCAGAGGTGTATGCGGTGTCACTCAGCTTAGAGAACCAAGTCAATTCTAGTCACCCCAATTTCGACTGGCTACTTGAACGGACTAATACAGAATCGTTGGTGATGAATTAAAAGTAGCTATTTATTTGATCAGCAGGTGTACAATTTAAGATGAAAGAATAATGACACAAAACTCTCATTTATGTATCGTTAATCGTTTTACAAACAGTCACATAAATGTTATCTATGCAAGATAGAATATATATCTGAACCCATAGATAAATCAAAAAATAGATCACTAGGGTGGAGATATACTACACAGTTGAAGCGAGTCACTGAACATCAAATATAGTTTATCTCGCTCCACTAAGTTCATAATGAACAGCGTATGTAGAAGAAAATCGAGAGGAAGCTCCATGCATATACCTTTCTAAATTTGCTACAATTTTTTGGAAGAGGTCAACGGTGCTCTTAAATTAAATTTTTCAATGCGTTTACACATATTTCTCTGTTTTCAAAATATATCTCTATATATCCTGGCTGAAGTCCTCCAGCCAATCAAACAAAATCCAATACTCGAAAATTAATCTGACGCTTACCAGCGACTGGCCGTATCCATTTTATTTATTTTTTTCATTTTTGATTACAGCTTGATTCCACACCATATGTTTTTGGTACTAGTATGGAATTTTCAGCATGTGATATCAGTAGTCCAAATTTTGCAGTCAGACCATAGATATCAGGTGTGCGTCGGCAGGGGGTCGAACCTCGGACCATGTGCATGGTGGGCGAGAGTCATAACCACTGTGCCACCGATGCACATTATAATCACTTACTGTTTTATACAACATGTCATCCAATCAATAAAACGAATTACGCCTAATTTACCCTCGTTATTCTTCATTAAACGAAGAAAAAAAGCAGCAGCATGTTAAATTGACATGATTAAGATTTAATCTGAATTTCACACTATCCAATTGTTGCTAATGTTTTTTCTCTCTTTCTCAATCTATTGAACAATGAATAAAATTTGGAATATTAGAACAACTTCCACTTTTGTTTCCGGAATATAATAATATATAACAAATCAGTTGGTAATACGTTTACTTCAAATAATAGAAAATAAATCTACAAATCGTTATGAATACACCCTTTTTAGACAAAGTATTAATGTTGTTGTGGTGCTTTTTTTAAACAAAAAAAGTACTGAAGATAAGAAAAACAGTTTATGGAATAGATAATCAAATTCAGATCTGTTTTATGTAGAATAATCTAAATAGAAAGACACCTAATTCAATTAATACCATTATTTATAGATAAAGAAATAAACATTAGACAAATGAACAAAAAGTCAGTATTGCTACTAATAATATTTGATTCATATAGCAATATAGGTAGATAGATGGATTGATTGGTAGACAAACAGATGGAAAGATAGATAGACAGATAGATAGGTAAACAGACAGACAAATAGGCAGATAGATAGACAGAAAAATGGACAGACAGATAGGCAGATAACCCAGATACATTATGAATTATTTAAATTAATCCCAGAGTGTTAAGAAAATCAAAACAAGATTTTTCTGAACGTTTCGCCGTGTAAGCCACAGCTTCTTCAGCAGATTTAAACAGGTAGACAGAAAAATGAACAGACAGATAAATAGATAGATAGAAAGATGGATAGACAGACAGAAAGATAGATAGATATCAGACTGACTGCTTCACATTAACAAAGATGCCTTATTATGAGTAATATGACAGAATTAATACTTTCTTGGATCATGTTTTACACCTTCTGGTAGGCAACTTTTTTCTCCACGTTTATCTGATGAATCTCTAACTGCACAACTAGACCAATTGAAATTTCTTGAAGAATCCTCACTTGTATTAACCCAAGCTAAAATGACAAAACAAAACCAAAAAAAACCTATTTCATTCTCAGAAACAATAGAATAGTTAGGAAGTAAATAAATTATACATGATAATAATGTTAATAAAAGATAAAATTATGAATTCATAGATAATTTTTAAAGCTTTCTTTCACACTAACTTAATAATATGTGAGCATTTGCTGTTTTAAGATCATAGGAAATCCCAACAGCGGCCTGTTGAAATAACTTGGTTGGCTAAATTGTTTTATCTATCCAAGTGTATTGTTAAAACGACATAAAATAGAGTGCTAAAGCCTGCGTTGTTGAAGCCCTATATTCTACCTAAGGAAATAATAACAATAAATGCATTGTATTCACGCTAATTTATTGAATTGGTTGTGTTCTCTAAGCTGGTTGATTTAACTGAGAAGCTTTTGTCATCCTTCTAGACAACATATTCACAGCAGGTTTTAGTAATCTATTTTATGTCACTCTAATAATCCATTTACGTCAGCGAACTGCAGTCTATACTCACTCACATTTTCAGATGGATTCCAACCTACTGGTATCAACTTTTTGAAATGAATGAATAAAAACCTATTAATGGAACATTGGAATATGCTTCTCCTTCATTTTAATACTTTATACTTTTCCCCTGAATTGACTGTTATGCACAAATGAGAAGTTTGTCCATTATGGACTGGCATTTTTATTCAAGACTTTTATTAATTTAAAATTAGTCCGTAAATCTATTGTACACTGCATAAAGAAATATAATTCGGATTTTGCAACACCAAGTCAACTAATTCTCCTATATGGTTCAGAGACTTGGCTTGTCACTATAAGCATTTCTAACTGCCTGCTGACAAAAACCGCCTTCGCTCTTCGCTCAAAATCAAATCTCCCGAAACGACTAACAACGGAAAACTCTGGGAATGAACTAAGCAATTAACTACTGGCCCAGAAACTATGCTGAAGAAAACGAAGATGGATCGAATAGGAGGTGCCTAAGAGGTAGTTGACTGATATCCAACAGCAGGACATTGCTTGAGTGGAACCACGAAAGGAAGCGGCGATTTCAGTGTCCAAGGGGATTTTACAGATCATGTGATGAGGAGAATACGGAATATGGGTAATCGTCGATCCAGTTAAAGAAGACTACAGGTAACATAATAAAGCAGAGATATGTTGTTTAAGTCCTACGTTCCCCTCGGACCCAAGGGAATATTATATATATATGATGGTGAATGTAAATTGTGCAATTAGTCATAATAGTAGTAATAATAATAATAGTTTTATCAATAATAAGGATGAAAAAGTGAAGCAATCTGTGATAACACGAATAACGAAAAATAGCATAATTAAACAAACAAATGTTCAAGTAGAAGTAGTCGATATAGGCTAGTAAAAACAAATGAACTGATTAATTATTGAATTGAATTTTTGATTTTCTCGTCGATTGATTGGACCGAAGTGCTCGGTCTCAGGTTGACAGGTCGGCTTCTTGTGCAGATGCTTCGACGATGCCTGGGCATTTAGTTAGTATACAATTGGTGGATGGTGGCTAGCAGTGGAATCCAGGATGCGCATTTCGTCCTGAGAAATGCAGGTACATCCAGTTGACGAGTCCCCAACAGGACGAAATGCGCATCCTTGATTCCACTGCTATCCACCATCCACCAAGTGAACTGATTAATTAATGCTAAATTGTAAAGGAAGTAAATGAAACACGTTTTTAATGAAGATATGATAAGATTAAGAGATGATAAGAGAGGGGTTGAAAATAAAAGTAAGGGGTGGTGTAGAAGTCATTAGTTGATTATGTCTTAATAGGCCAAGGGAGGGATAATGGTTGCACTAACTTCTTTTGAATGCATAGTTTAGGCTTAATAGTTCGAATGCCTATCACCTCAGCTGTGTGCAGTAGACGAATACGAAGTCTATTGGAAAGATTCCGTGAATTACTTTGAAAGCTCTCGTTTTCTCCACTACATAACCACTTTCAATTAAATGTGACAAAATTGGGCTACCGATTGTTTTTGTCTGTCCTTTGCCAAACCAAGATGGGAGATGTTCAGTAGTGACACGTTGGCGAAGCTGTCTGGTAGTACGCCCAACATAACTGTCACCGCAGGTGCGGTTGAAGTGATAAATGCACACACCATCTAGCTTACCCTTCGTTTGCGTCCCAATCATTCGTCGGCTAGAGAATAACAAACATAGGTATGCTGCGTAAACTTTTCTCAGTATACTCCTGGAAAGTCTCTGGAATAAAATTTCACTTGATAAGTCACCATAAAATTGTAACTTAATAAATAGAGGTTTCTTATGTGCAGTCAGAGTCTCAGGTTTTTCCTCTGATGTTTTAATATGTCTCTTTATGAAACTACTCGGATAGCCCATCTCCGTCAAGGAATCGTGAACATATTCAAATTCCTTTTGTTAGAGGTCATCCGTACATATCTTCCTTGCTCTGCTCGCGAGACATTTTACAACATTCCTCTTATATTTAATGGGCACGTAACTAAGGAAGTGTGTGTATTGCCCTGTGAATGTGCTTTTCCTGTGCACGCTTCTCCCAAGTGACCCATCTTCTCTCCTACTTAGCAAGACATCCAGGAAATGTGGCTTATTCTCCTGCTCCTCTTCACAACTAAAGGTAAGCGAAGGGTGGATGTTGTCGAATTTGAGCAATAATTCGTCTATGTCAACATTCTCATCAGCTAAGATAAATGTATCATCGACATATCGGTAATACATATCAAACTCCTTGATGGTGTCCTTCAATTTCCCGTTTTCAAGTTTCGCGAGAAAGAAGTCAGCTAATATTGGGCCTAATGGTGAACCCATAGTTATTCTATCTGCTTGTCGATAGTATGAATAATTGAAGATAAAGTGAACATTCATTGTGCATTTAAGAAGTAATTCTTTGAGGCTACACAAGGGGATTCCTAAGTCTAATTGCCTTTCGGTGATTTCTTGACAAATATAATCTACTGTTTCCATAAGCGGTACGTTAGTGAATAGTGATGATAACATGCGTTTATATCTCACATTAGTCTCGGATATATTAGAAATAAAGTCGAAGACATCACTAATTCTATGTTGCACGATTTCTCTGTGCAAAGGACCCAGAATCTTAACTAACCACTTCGCTGTTCCGTGAAATGGAGAATTATACATATCTAAAACAGATTGCCTCACTTTTTTCATCCTTATTATTGATAGAACCATTATTATTAATATATATATATATATATTCCTGTTCACCTGCATGACACTAATAGTAAAAAACAATTAATGTCGCCTTTCTGAGAATGGACAGAGTTCAAAGTGGTTTCTGCATCAATGAGAAAACTACCAGAAATCAAGAAATACAATATACTCGTTTTCTTCCATTGTGGATAAAATTTATTTTGACAAAGTCTCAAAATGTTATACAGTAATATTTACTGATGACTTTTCGAGCACAGTTTATTACTGCTTATAATCATATCAAGCAATAATAAATTTGATCCAGAATAGAATTATGCTCTATCACAGTGTACAAGTTCTATTCCTATATCAGAGATACATATGGTCTTCCTACTGGGAAGCTCATCAGCGAACACACGAATTTAACTGGTGGATGGTGACTAGCAGTGGAATCCAGGATTTGATTTGATTTTACAGCTTGATTCCACACTGTATTTTTGGTACAAGTATGGAATTTTCACCATGGATATCGGTAGCCCGAATTTCGCAGGCCGACCATAGATATCAGGTGTGTGTCAGTAGGGGATGGAACCTCAGACCAAGTGCATGGTCGGCGAGAGTCGTAACCACTGTGCCACCGACGCACAGGTGGCGCATTTCACCCTAGTTGGGACTCGTCATCTGTATGCACCTGCATTTCCCATTGAGTGATGACGTTCCCACAGAGGCTCGAACCCAGCGTGCATAGTTTCAAACGCCCAGACATCGTCGAAGCATCTGCACAAGAAGCCGACACGTCAGCCTGAGACCGAGCACTTCGGTCCAATCAATCGACGGGAAAATCTAAAATTCAATTTAAAGTAAAAAAAAACTCACACGACTTTGTCAAACAGAAACCAGATTCCCAAACCATCAGATTTTCAAGAGTCGATGTTAAGAAAATCAGACCATTCCTAAATACTTAATCCTACGTACTCCAATTACTTCAAGAAAAATGCCATCAACAGCGGAATATTTCAGCAGATTATGTCTAAGAGAAGAAGTGAATCAAATTATTATGCAAATAAACTATACTCGTTTTCTATTACTTTACTACTACAAATTGAAATATACTGGACGACATTCAAGCGGTCCAATATAGCACATGTGGTTTACGAAATATTTTAATAACAGTTTTCATGTTAAGTAGCGCAAGTAGTTATACAGTGCTGCTTGTTTTTTCACGCGTTACATGTAGTTTGTAACAAGAACCATATTCTCTGATAGAATTTTCAAAACTAAAAATTTTTTTTTCTGAACTGCTTAAAATAAATGATGAATATTCAGTTTATTTCTAACTTTTAAACTTTCTAAAACCATGCACTCTATATACATGCTGGAAAAAAACAGAAAAGAAAATATTGCTTAGATTTCTATATATATATATGAAAGCCTTATCTAAACATTGCGATCGTATTACATGGTCAAGACAACAAAAAAATCACTTTTCTGTTTTAATTTGCTCTTCGTTCTTTCTCTCTCTTCCTCTCAAGGACAATTGAAAAAAAAGTTAACAGATGGACACCAGAGACAAAGTTATTCCTGATTGGTTAAAATAAATTAACCTAGATACCATACACATATTTTCTAATAGGTTTACTTCCCTAGAATGAAGTCTTTTATGCATCCTCGGGAGTTAAATTCTTCAAGAAGTTTAAGTTTAATATATATATATATATATATATATATATATATATATATATATATATATATATATACATATATATATATATATAAACTTGGAAGTACACATATACACGTGTATATAATGTTGTATAGGTTAATTAGAATT